GTAAAAGGAAAAAGTGAGTGAGTGTAGACTTTTCCAAAATGGCTTCTTAGAATGAATGATCATTTTATTATTTTTCTCAGATAAAATTAACTCAGTCACTTGAAAGAAATACAACACTCATATTTAATGCAAAGTATTGAGAGAATGAAATATATCTGTATTTATAATTCATCATAACATTTTATATTCAATTTTCACTTTGCCAAATGCATCCATCATTTTATTTTAGAAAAACACAGGAATTCTTAATACATCATGAATAAAAGTAGAGGGGAGTAGAATTCCCTCTAGTAGTAATTTTATTTCAACACAATTCATATTTTCAATTCTTTGATAAAAAAATCTTAAAGAGAAATGTTTGAACATATTTTCTTAATATATAAAACATAAAGAAATAACTCCCTATCATTAGAAATAGCTCAGTAGCAAGCTTCCCATCTCTGAGCCATCAACTTTAGGTCCTGAGTGTAGGATGGCAGGAGTTGGCCAGTAAAAGAATAAATTTTTGAGAATTCATTTTACCCTTGAGTCACTTTTGCATGAAATGATAGCATCTCTCTTAGGACTGGTCTCAATGTATCTTTCTTTAAATTACTTACCATATATAATCTTGACTATAAAATAAAAGTGCTTTTTTAATGGCAAGAACTTATGGCACTTTTACAATGGAAAATAATGCTCTTCAGTAGGAAAATTTCAAAGATAGGAGTTATGAGTCTACAATGAGAAACTATTTCATCCCTTGCAAAATCCCTTCTTTTATCTGTTTTTTAAAGCTCCTTTATGTGCAACATCCTATTTTTTTCTGCCAAAGAAGACTGAAGTTGTAAACCTAATTTCAGCCCAAATTTATTTTATTCAACTCAAATAGTTGATCAATATCTCAAGATTTTTTTCCTTGAACTACTTTGCCCTAATTGCCTGATTTTCTTAAATAAATTGGAATCTTCATTTGAATTCTCTGAGTAGGCTTAGAGACTGATTTCATCTCAGTCATAATACTGGAGACCAGAGAACTGTATTTCACAGAGGACCTATTCCACTTTAGTGGTTCTTAAATTTGGCCCTCTTGAATATTAGATTCCTTCAGTAGCTAAGAAACAAAATGGGATCTGTAACTCCATCATTAACCATTATGGATTATTTTGCTCTGAAAAGCTATATATATATTTTAATAACTATTCTGAATTTTATTACTTTGTTTACAACATTCAGATGCTTTTCTGCAGGATTAAAAATTGAAAGTGGTCTCACCCTTCAGGGAAACTGTGACCTAAATCTGCACATGCAGAAACAAAATGAAAAGACAAGTTCAATAGAGAATCATTTATTGCAGATGATTTCTTAATATGTACAAATAATAATGAGTTTGGAAATAAAAAATAGTAATGTGGTTCACAGAGGAAAATCTGCACTATTGGAAAAGGATCATCATGGAAAAGTTATATTGCTGAGCAAAGTAAATTGCCCGGCTCTACTTTCTACCTCCTCCCCCACTACTTCTGTTGCTATGAATTGGGGTGGGGGGTGAATAGAAACCGAATAAGAGATAAATAAGGCTGAGGACCTGAAGTTGAGAGAGAAATGAAGAAAGTTAGAACTTCCAAAATCAGATAATGAACCAAAGTGTTCACACGAATATGATTACCAAATATCTTCATTTTAGAAGGGCTTTGGTCAGTGAATGGTCCACAGGTGTGAATAAATATGTGTGGCTATAAAAGATAACATTAAAATTCTTTTTCATGTATAACTTAAAAAACAGCACTGAATTTAGCAAAAAGACACAGGTGATGTGAAAATCTTTAGTAAAAACCCCATCGACAAAGAGAGCTGATAATGAGAAGGGTTAATGACACACCCAACTTTACATGGTTTGTCAGTAATGGGGGCTAACTTTAGTAAGCATCCCCTGGGACCTTCCCATCCATAATATTCCCCCAAACTTGTGTATTTTTAAGCTTGTCATAAATTTGCATTAATTCCACAGACATATACTGAGCATTTCCTAGGTACGAGGAATCACGTTCAGTGCTGAACATACAATATACAGAAGTATTATATGAAAGACACAATCTTAACATTCATGGAGTTTATGTTTTTTGAGGGGAGCCAATATCAAACTATTACATACATTGTACACATTACAACTGCAATGAAGGCCAGAAGGAGTAGACTGTGATATAAAAATATTTGAAAATATCAGGTATTTATCTTGGGCTTCAGCTCTATTGCTCTGTTCTAATTCCTCTCACTGGATCATTAAAATGTATGTCTTTTCTCACTTCACCTGAACACTTGTGAATTTTTGACATCATTGCTAATAGTTCCTACTATTTTTCTAGCTCCTCTTCTTTGAATACTACTCATAGTATTCTCATCTACTTTTATGAATAGGGTATTGACAAGTGTTTGGGATACAGACCAGGTTGGACAGTGATTGTAGGATGGAATTGTGGCTACAAACCTTGGATAAGACAAGAGCTAAACACAGCTTTGGGAGCTGATTCTTCAATGGAGTCAAAGGTTGGGTCCTGAAGCTCTTTACCCCTAATACTTTGAAGGAGTCATAGTGAATAAATCCAAGAGAAGGAGAGCCAACTTGGAGAGCATGTTTATGACACACACAGACCCAAGTGAAATTTTCTGAGATCCTTTCTTTAACAGATGTTTAAAAATGCATGTTTCAAATAGTACAATAATTCTTAAAGTACATTAAATATCAAAATCACCAATTAGTGAAGAAATGCAATTCACTTTAGGTAGACAGCTACTAGAGATGTAAAAAGACAATTTAATATTTTAAATATTTGAAGGGGGTGAAGGGAGGGCAGGGGTATGGGAAAAAACAAGAACCAATATATATTATGTAAAGGTACAAGATACCACTGATAAATGTAACTATATTCTTGGCTTTAAATGTACCAATAAACTTTATGGAAAAAAGCAAAATATTAAACCTATATATTTCACTTCAACCTGAATCTCACTGCCCTGTGTCCCCTCAGTCATATGGATTCAAGAAAGAAAGGCAAAGTTTCTTTTCTGTGAAAGAAAATGTCAACAAAAATATGAGCCACAGTCTAGGAGAAAATATTTTTAAAAGATGCAGCTGATAAAGCACTATTATCCAAAATATACAAAGAATTCTCAAAGTTCAACAATTAGAAAACAAACAATTTGATTTAAAAATAGTTGAGGCCATACTCCTAAGTGAAATAAACAGGACACACGTGTAAATACCGAATAGTTTCTCTGGTGTGAGAATCTGAATGTGTAAATAAGGATCAAAATGTATAATAGATAATGTGAAATAGGAAGAAAACTTCCAGTGGTGAAGGGGATCTAGGAGGGGTAAGGGAAAGGAAAGGAGGGAGTGGAAAAAATATGACAAAAAGTAAAAATATGTCAAAGATCTTTACTGACACCTCATTACAGAAGACATGAAGATAACTCAAATGAGCATATGAAAACATGTTCCATGCCATATGTTATCAGAGAGATACAAATTAAAACAATAGTGATAACTGGACACCTATTAGAATAGCTGTAATCAAGAACATCAAGTATTGACAAGGGTGTGGACTAAGAAGGACTCGCATTCATTGCAAAATGATACAGCTAGTTTGGAAGACAGTGTGCTGGTGCTTTGTTACAAAACTAAAATAGTCTCATCAGAGAGCTCAGAAATTACACTTGTTGGTATTTACCCAAAGGACTTGAAAACTTATACATACACAAAAACCTGTACACCAATATTTATAGCAACTTTATTAATAATTGCCAAAGCATAGAAGCAATCAACATGTCCCTCCGTAGGTGAATGAACAGATAAACTGCAATGGAATGATTTTCCTCACTGAAAACAAACAAACAAACAAACAAACAAACCTTACTCAAGCCATAAAAAGACACAGAGGAAATTTTAAAGCTTATTACTAAACAAAGGAAGCTAATCTGAAAAGGCTATATTCTGTACGATTACAATCACATGACATTCTGAAAAGACAAAACTGTGGGGACAATAAAAATCAATGGTTACCTGGGGTGAAAGACAGATAAACCCAATAGGGCAGTAAATAACTTTGTATGGAACTCTGTTAGTGGATCTATGCCACTATATATTTATGCAAACACATAGCCTATGTAATATCAAGAATGAACACTTTTGTAAATTATGAATTTGTGTAATGATGATATGTTAATATGTGTTCATCATTTGTAGCAAGTGTGTGATGCTGGTAGGAGATGTTAATAATGGTTGAGGTTGTAGGTTTGGTGTCACAAACATGTGGCATATCTGTATCTCTCAATTTTCCTGTGACTCTAAAACTGATCTAAAGCATAGTCTAAACAAAGGAAAAGAAAAAAGTGAGTCATATCCTATGAAAAAAATAAGATGTAATGTAACAGAAGCCCCTGTTAGTCAGAAAGTTAAAATGTTTCCTGTTATGGTTTGGGGGAAAAAAAAAAGACTAGAGAAAAAAGAGCAGAACAGGGCAGAGGAAAACACCTAGTACTCCTCAGAGTTGAAGTAACCTACCATGTAGGAAGAGTAGAAACACCCAAAGAGGTTATATGTATGTATGTATTTGTTGAAAAATACTATCTGTTAAAATTATCAGAATATTAAGATAGATGTCTAACCACCACAGCACATTCAATAAAGGTCAAAAGCAGCAAAATGGCCTAGAAGAAGCAAGGTGAGAGATGAGCCTCAGGGGGTCCTGCTGATCTAGTACACCTTTGTGTGGCACACAAGAGGTTCGGAAATTTTCAAGTGCCTCTTCCATCCAGAAGGTTGTTTCAGCCTTGCAGCCTGCCTAGGAGCTTCTAATGAGAGAGAAAATGACCTCAGAATGAAAATTGCAGGATAGATGGGATAAATCAAGCTGAGATGAAGTGTCTGAGAATAAGAGGACTTGCACAAAGTAGACAAAAGAATTATAATACAACCTAGTAATTCTATTCTGATGATTTCACCTAAAAGAATTGGAGATATACTTCACATGGCAAGGAGATACCATGATCACCAAGGTGATTTCCCCAGGACCCATCCATTGAAGTCTGGATGTATTCATTCCAGGGATTTCTCCCAAATGTAGAAAACTCAACTGCATAATTCTGGATGTGGAGGACTACAATTTATACTCTTCTCTGGTGGGGGAGAGGGAATGTCTTCAAACAAACTTTCTCATAATTATTTACAGTAGCTTTATTCATGATACCCAAAGGGTAGGAAAAAGCCAAATTTCCATCAAGAAATAAATAGATATACAATGTGTGGTATATCTATACAATGGAGCATTTTTCAACCGTAAAAATAATGGAGCACTGACACATGGAATAGCATGGATGAACCTTGCAAATATGTTGAGTAAAAGAAGCCAGACACAAAAAGACCACATGTTATATGGTTCCTCTTATATGAAATATCCAGAGTAAGCAAATTCATGGATTTAGAAATATGGTGATGGTCAGAAAAGAAGAAATGGTGAATGACTGCATATTGGGAACATGGCTTTTACCAGGAGTGATTTCAATGCTCTGGAACAAGAGAGATGATGGTTGAACATCATGATGAGAATGTAGTTAATGACACTTAATTGTATATTTAAAAGTTTAAAGTGGTAAATTTTATTATGTATAGTTTACAATAATAATAATAATAGTAAGAATAGGGCCTTAACAGCTTCTGTAGTTTGGATCATGGGTATCTCCCAAAGGCCTCTGGGTGAAAGTCTTACTTCTCAGCATGGTAAACCTTCAGCGATGAGACATAGTGGGAGGTCATTAGGTCATAGGGAGTCAACCCATGAAAGGAATGTGGGACTCTGGTCCCTTCCTTGTTCTCTTTTTCTGTTCCTGGCTAAGAGGCAATTAGTTTTGCTTCACCATGAGCTTTGGCTATAATGCACCACCACAGACCCAGAGAAATGGGGCCAGTTGAACATGGACTGAAATCCAACTATGTGAGACAAAATAAACCTTTATTCCTTATAAATCATCTCAGGATTTTTGTTGTAGCACTGGAAAGCTAATACGTCAGCTGACTAATTGCTAATTCTGCAGTGGAATTCTCAACAAGCTTTATACAAGCCAAAGAAACAGAATATGAATTTCACTAACGTAGCCCTATGTTATTAGATACTGGATGTAAACACAAATGTTCAGGGGAGACTGAGCATGAGAACCCTTAACCCTATCTCAACACAGGGATGGAAAAGTAACCTTTGAAGCCAGGTGTTGTCTTGGGGAGTCGGAGGAAAGATGAATCCAAGGTTATATCTGCTGATGATTTTCTTGCTACCAGAAGCCCAAGGTGGCATAGGGAGTCCCATTACAAAGACATGGAGTGTGCCTCTGTGTGTATCTTCCGATGGATCTCATTCCCTTCTGAAACTACCAGGATTCAATCACGGGGTTTATCTATCCACCTCAAAACACAATAGTCAGATGAAGCTCTCACACTCAGCTTCTCACAATGGGAATTAAACTTCAACATGAGTTTTAGAGGACACAACCACGTCCAATCCATAGTAGTATGTATATTTCACATTTTAATGAGATGGAAACCAGGAACAACTAGTGTACGTGGGGGTTGTGTTCATAATCCCTAACTTTTTTTTTAAGTGACTTTGTGCATCTTTATGATAACAGCAAAGAGTAACGTGACTGAAATGCTAGAAGTACTGTGCTGGTAACAGCACTTGTGGTAACAGATGGTGTTACTCTGAGCAAAAATCTACATGAAGTCAATATTCTGTGAGGCTTAGGTATTACAGCACCACATCGTAAGGGCCACCATTATAGAGAAATTCCCATAGGCTAAAGACTTGCATCATAGAGACTGAAATGCTCAAGTATTTAACTGCTACTTTCCCAGTGAAGCAATGACTTTTTAAAAACTAAACTTCTTGGTAATGTGAGATTTCCAGTAGTGCAATTATGTCATAACACAGATCTCTCACAGGTTTCTCAAAAGTATTTTGAAAGCTTGGAATATATTAAACACATGTACAAGTTTTATATCTTCTCTGAAAATGTTTACAGGGTCTGTTCTTAAGCTTGAGTTTCCACTTGGCAAGAATCAGTACATTTAGGACTTGATCCAATCCAAACACCCTTTACTGTGTGTCCAGTGCCGAATTTCATTGTTTCATTTCACTCATTTTAGATATTGTGAACACTATGAGCATTAGAATTCACACCTCTTGCCATAACCAAATGTGTGATATTCTACCCAATGAAGATGATTACGCTGCTGAATCTTACAGTTTAGGTTAGGTGTCAAAATCCTAGATATTTTCCATCTCTGGATGGCAAATTTCATCCATTCCCCAGCTTCAAAGGATGGAAGTCGTATCAGTGTATCATCACTCTTCAAAAATAATCTTTCCCTAACCAAAAGAGCATCATGTAAATTAGATCATAGAGTGAAAATTAAAATGCAGATATAAAGCATTATTATAATGTTGTTATTAATAGGCACTCTGGAGGTGAGCCAAATTTTCTAAATGTGTATTTGATAGCCATGATGATTTTGGTACAAAAATACAGTTGATCTTAGAAAAGCTGGAAAACATTCTGAGAAAACTGAAAGAGCTTTAAGGCATTCATTTAAAAATAACATTGATAGTTCTACCTTTGTATTAGATGCCCTAACACATAGATAAATAAAACATTAATTTGAAATATGTTTTTTTTTTTTAATTTTAGAGCATTTATATATGTTTCTTAGCAGCTGAATAAGCATTTAAGAAAAATGGCATCTTCAGGACTCTGGCATCTCTGCTGATTTAGCACTTTCATTTACCAGAAATTAAAAAAGAAACAGAGATATTAAGCAACAAATTGAAGGTAACACAGTGACTCATTGAAGAGAAAAAATTAATCAAGGCTTGCTTTCAACACTTGTTTTTTATTGTGATTTAATTTTCTCCAAGGCGCCAAGGCCTAGTTAAATAACCTTTTTAATTTTCATTTTATAAAAATTGATTAAATAATGGGTCAAGATTGTCATTGAACTATTATTATTTTAATTGCATAGCTGTCAGTAGTTTTGTAGAGATTCATTAAAGATTGTTCATGATACAATGTAAAAAATGATTTTCTTTCAGACAATTGATCACTGAAGAGTTCTGAGTGTAGAATTCTTTAAAATTGTTCTTTGATTACTTAATAGGATTATAGTTAATCTCTTGATGAATGATAATGCAGAATCCTTTATTTGTAACTTCATGTTTTATAATAGTTCATTTTGTTACACTCTGTTATTTTATGTTTTCTTTGCTCTGTCAATAAGTACAAATATTTTTCAGCCTAAAGAGCTCTCTTACTGCTCTCAGTCCAGTCAGAATAAAATGAAATGAAAAAATACTATTTGATATAAAGTGAATTCACTCTGGAAAATAAAAAAGAGGTGATTTTCAAGATTTACTTGAAAAATCTATTTTCCTGTACATTTTTGCCCAGAGATAGGCTATACAGTGATTGATCATCTCTGTGTCCTGTAGATTATTTACAAATTTCTGGTAAGAAATAAAAATAGGACAGTGGGAAATAATAATTGAGATGATAATTTTTTAAAAAACCTGAGATTTGGGGCTGTGGCTTGTCTTTGTATCAACTGGGACACAGCTGAGATTTTCTTCTAAGTGTATTGGAAGATAAAGGAAAGAAGAATTATTGCTGAGAAAATAAATACAATGATGGGTGAATATATATATATAT